CCAGTGCAGAGCCCTTCCCACTGTGGGCCTCCTTGTGGCCGCTGGCTGTCATGCAGGCTTTGTGGAATGTCCTATCTCTGAGGCACAGAGGCCGCTCGAACTAGGCACAGGTGAGAAATAACAGCCACAGTTAGTGGGAACTTAGCACGTCCAGCCACAGTAAAAACTCTGATTTCCCACAGTTTACATGTGAGGAAATTAAAGCATAAAGAGAAGGGGTAACAGAAAAAGTCAGGGCTAGGGAGAGTGAAGGTGGGACATGGCCTGTGTGGTCAGGCCGGCCCCGCACTCTGCCACTCGCACTGCGGGGTTACTGGGCAGGGCAGCTCAGCTCATTTCAGCATATTCTACAGACAGCAGCCCCCCTTGATGCTGCTCCACCTGGACACCAACAACAAAAACAGTTAACCTGGCCTCTGAGGAACCAGTGGGCCTTCAATGCCATGGGCTGGGAGACACACAGGGACAGACCGGGTAGGAAGCCGGTGGGGACAGAGTGCCCTCCTGTAAGTGTTGCCCCCGGCAGAACTCCTCTGCCATGCAGCCATGCCCTGGGCTGTCCTGCCGCCAGGAATCCACCCAGTCCTTGCCGTCCAATGGCCACAGTGGCAAGGGGTTAGGCTGCGGCTTGTAAGTTGCACACAGCTGTGAGCTTTAGGCCGCAAAGCTGTTTCTGCATCGACTCGCCAACTGTTGATAAAACTGGTCCCATGTCACAGTCACTGGCAATGGGGCAGCTATGGTCCCATACATGCTCACTTCCATTCTCCTTGCTCTCTGCCAATCCTTATCGCTTCTGTCTAGCTTCGTTGACACCCTGAGACCATGTTCTTGAGGTCTGTCCCCCTCGCAGCAATGAGCAGAAGTCATGACCAGCGACAGATAACATTTGGCATTTGAAAATGCCAATCTTCAAAAGGCTGAGCTCACCAGGCAAAACCTGGCACTGTGGGAAGCGGCTACGCCACGCCCGGGCACCCTGGTACAATGTCCCCTCTGTCGGAAAGCCTCTCTCAGCCATGCACCCCACATGGAGAACGCTCCGCCTGGCACCTCCCCTCTCTTCAGCATCGTTCCTTCTGCACTCAGTCAACAGCTAGTGAGTGTGGAATATGTCCCAGGCACTGGGGTGACTCCGGAGCCTCAGGAGGCAGACCTCCAGAAGCAAGTGAGTGAAGCCCTCTCTTTTTTGGCCTGGTGCTTCCAAAGACTTTGGGGGCCAGCCTAGGAGGGAGGCCCACCTGGTGCATGAGTGGTTGGGACTGAATATAAGAAAAGGAACTGAAAACAAACAACTGCAAAGAAATGTTCAACTTTGGCCAGCAGTCTGCTGTAGTAATGCTGATGCTATTCAAAATTTTAATAGGCTGATGCAAAAAATTAAGTATTTCATGTTGTTGGACACCAAAACTAAAAATATATATACATAATTCAAGGAGTTAACAACGCTGTAACATTAGATGTGGATCAGAAAGGATGATATTATATTAGGTTTCTACAAGATGATGTGGTGTAACAAGAGCCCTCAGTCTCAGGCTCACCACAATGAGCTTGCTCACTGGCCTGTAACAGTGACCACAGTCCCACTGATCCCTGGGGGCTTATGGGGCTGAACCAGGTCAGGCTGGAACTCAGCCTTTGGGTGAGGCTGAGGTCATCCATCATAGCCTCATTTTGGGACTAGGGGTAAATGAGCAAGAGCTACCGGCACATCAAGAGGGCGGCCAGAAGCTGGTCACACCTCTTGCCCCCTCCTGCTTCTGTCACCTCAGCCCAGGTCACCAGGCCAAGTACTAACTGCCAAGGCACAGTGTGTTGGCACCTTGGACACAGGTCTTCCAGCCCCTGCCAGCCAACAACACGAGGGCAACCTCCAGAGAGACCCTCGGCCAAGACAACCCAGGTAAGCATTTCTGGGTTCTTCACCACAGAAATTATGGAGACCATGTTTATTGTTTTAAGCTGCTAAGTTTTAGGGTAAATTGTTACACACAGAGGACTAATTCAGTGACCAAAGAGCAAGTGCTGGTACTTAATATATCTGACCTTCAGTTTTCTCATATATAAATAGAGATAATATCAGGAGGTGTGTCATAAGGTAACTGCAAGGATTAAGTGAGTTCCCGAATTTAAGAACCCTGTCTTGAATCTGTACACAGTAAGTGCCCAGGAAAATGGGGACAGCTCAGGCTATAACCACAACCTGCATCCATTTCCAAGCCCTTGCCTGGGCAGGGAGCCAGTGGGTGTTCAAGGCAAGCTCTGGGGGGAGTGGGGGTGCTGGTGACATAGCAAGGACACACAGGCAAAGGTCTGAGTGGGCACGGTGAGCAGCCCACTGCAGGGCCCCAGATCCGAGGACTCTGATGGCTGTGAAGGCAGCAGAAGCTTTGTGTTCAAATCTTTCCCATCTAATGTCAGGGCAAGTCTCCTTGGCCATCCCCTCTATGCATGTTAATCCCGCTACCTGGAACATTGTTCTTCCAGGATCACCCCTAATAACATGCAAAAGCTCCAGGGGTCACTCTAACTCCTCATTGCCTGCTCAGAGTCTTTATGATGTCCCGAGGCAGGACTCAGAGCCCTCGAAGGCTTCTCTCCATCCATCTACTTGCCCCAGCGCCTTCATTAACAAGCACACAGCCAACACATCAGACCCAAGAGGGAGAATGAGATTTGAGAAAGGGCTAGAAAAATGACCAATTAGTAGAAGGGACTGATGCCTTCCAGGGAGACCCCAGAAGTTCAAATCCATATCCGACTCCAGCCAGCACCAATGCCCCCATTGTAGAGGATCTGACAGGACTAGAGAGGACTCACAGGCTGTATTTAGGGGGTTCTCCAGACTCCTGGAAACAATTAGCTTTGACTCCTCACCCTGCTTCAGAATCACCTGATACATTTTGACAAAGCGGATTAGACTGATCCTAGACCCCAAACCAGTGACTCAGATGCAATGGTCTAGGGTAAAATCTGGGCAGCCCCTGCCCAGGCAGTTCTGATGTGCAGCCAGGGTGGAGGAGCACCACTCCAAGCAGGATCCTGAAAGCAAAGCACCTCCACTTGACATCCTGTCACTGCCTGAAAGCAGCCATGCAGTGGAGGGACACCCCCAGACTTAGTGCCCCGGGAGAGTCAGCCTGTGCCTGGCTGTGCCCCGCAGACCTCCTCCTGCCCAACCCACCATCAGGCTGGGTCAGCATCCCAGTGCCCCAGGCACACACAGCTTCAGGTTCAGACGGAGGATAAAGATGCAAATACCCAAACTGCTCCTGGTCAAAGCTAAGCCAGGGGCACGCTCAGAAACAGCATCAGCTGAGAACTAAAGGCAACAATCACACAACTACTCCCCTGAGAGGCTCCAAGAGGTAGTGAGTTTCTTTTTTAAAATGAGGAAGAATGGGTATTCCACATTGGAAGAGAACAGAGTGCAAGGGAGCCAATTCAAAAAAGCAAAGTGGGGCCCCCCTGGTGGCGCAGTGGTTGAGCACCACGCTGTGAAGCTGTCCACAGCCTCTGCAGCGCCGGTTCAATTCCCTGCCACAAGGGAGAATCCCACATGGTACAGCAGACCTCTCTTGCCTCGCCCGCTGTTCCCCTCAGCAGTGTCTTCACTCCACCTGCCTGTTCTGCTCCCTGCTCTGACTCTGGTGAATTCTCTCACCCTCCCGTGCTTCTGACTTGTACCCCAGTTCTCGTATAAAATAAATAAATAAATTTTTTAAAATAAATAAATCTTAAAAAAAAAAAAAAGCAAAGTACTGCTCCTCAAAACAGTAAACCCAACGCATCCACACACGCGCATACACCATCACACTCACAACGCTGATGTAAATAAATCTCACCACATCTTCACACAAGTCCTGGGCACAGCTACCAATACCAGATTTCTCCTACTTAGCTGAAGGTTCTATTCCAGCTCTCGGAAGGCCTGGATATTGTCTGGCTTTCTATAAAAAATAGGTTGTTTTATTCAAAGTGTCAACAGCGACGATACTGTAAGGGAGGGCATTAGGTTAAAAGCACTCCAGAATTCACATCATGGTGAGAGCAGACACCGTTTGACATACCTCCCAACCTCCACCCCTCTTCTCTGCACCCCACTCACAGGGCTGGTCCCCTCAGCTGTGCATGGTCCCCCAGCCACACGCTCCTGGCCTCAGATGCCTGGACCAGGGCGGGACACGTGACATGCTGGGCTGAAGGACGGGTTGCTGGTCTCCATCCAGAACAGTGGCTTAAATGGGGATCAGCGGTTGGACCACACAGGCAGACAGGCAAGGAGGCAGAGAGAGGGGGAGAGAAAAGCAGAGGCGAGTGTCCCGGCCCTGAACCCCCTGCCCAGAGATTCTGTGAAGTGCCCCTTTATCCTCAAAATTAATCCCTCTTCTGCCTGTTCAGCCCCTTTGAAAATGGATTTCTCTTACTTCCTAACAAAAAAACAACCTTGACCGAAACAACCGTGAAACCTCATTATCAACGAGTTACTAAACATTTCCAGGAAATTTTTCTTTAAAGCCCAAAATCAACTTTTCTCTTTCTTGACTATGCCGTGCATTTCAATGTAAATATGTGCTTTGCTGTGGCAACTGGCTTCCAAAGTCGGAAGGTAGGCAGCCCCCAGCACCTGGGGTCAACAAAGAGCGAGCTCTCTGGGAAAACCTTCCTTCACCCCTCTTCTTGCCAGTGAGCATTATCACAGGAGGACCCCGGGGGAGGCGCAAGTGTGCAGGGCCTGGCTCAGGCCTGGAGGCTGGGCTGCCCCCGGACCCCGGCCCTGCCAGCGTGGGCCAGGCGCCGTGACGTTCTCTGATGAACCAACAGCTGGCTCCGCGCACGAGCACGTGGAGAAGGGAAAGGCCCTGCGTGCTCTCCTTAATGGGCGTGTAAATCAGTAATGCGTGTTTATAGACTTCAAGAGAGAAACGCTGGCAGTGGCTGAGCAGACACTCTTCCCAGCCTCGGCCTCAGAGGGAGAGGGTAAAGGACAAGGTACAGACCTCCGGCTGGATGGCTTTAAACACGGGTATGTCCATGAGCGTGATCTGGCTCTGCAACAGAGGAGAAGCGGGGTTAGAAGGTGCACAAGCCGGACAGAGTAACAACACATTCTTTAAAGCTGTATTTCCCCCCGGAAATAAAAATCAAGATAGAATAGAGTAGAAAATTGGTTCGCTTTCGAAAATGCCTCTCGTAAATCCTGATCCACATCTTTCCTTCTTGGGTATAAGGTGAACCTCCAATTTAAGAATTGGCGATCGCCGTCTGGGAGGTGGTCCTGGGAACGAGGGGACCCCTCTCAGTAGGGGTATTTTTATACTATTTGAGTGTTTATGTCAAGCATGAATTACTTTTGTCATTTTAAAAAGGTTTAAACACAACATAAAAAATTAGAATGCTAAACTATCTATTACTCTAAATTTAAATTTCTTTTAGTTGTGGCTTATAGAGATTGTGTATTTTCTCCTGAAGTCTGTGCCTCCTCTAAATTACACGGTGGAGGACTATTCACGCTGCATCCCCAGGCCAGCGGTGGCCCACCAACTGCTTACACGGCCAGCCCACAGCGAGATAAGTACAGACGTGGAGAGCACGCATTTGGAAACTTTTATAGCAAATGGCCATGACGTTTTTATTGTTTTTGAAAGGTTGGAACTGAAAGGCACTGCTCCTTCACCACAGCGAACTTGAGACGCGCCAATGTTTTACTAGAGAAAAATACAGAGGAAAAGGCTGCTCCCGTTGTTAAAAAGTGCATTTGGCGACAGTAGGAGAAGCATCAGCGCTGGCAGATTGGCAGACCAGGCCAGAGCTGACGGCACATGACCCAGCCGCCTCCACCTGGCCTGCCCGGTGTCAGTTAACCGACCCTCTGCAGCAGGCCGGAGCAAGGAGAGCTGAGGGCCTTTTGTGTGGCCGCCGCGTGAGAAGGCGCCGTCACCTGGACACAGGTCACCTGGAAGAACGTGGCGAGTGGGGCACACGTGGGCACTGGAATCCTTAAGGCATCGGGCTTCTGGACACAGTGGCTTAACAGCAACATTGTCTTTGACACGTGACCTAACCTCTCCCAGTCTTGGGTGCCGCATCTAGGAAATGGTGAGAATACTTCCCACCTTAAAGGGTCTTTGTGAAAATTCAAGATGAGAAGTACAGAGTACCTGGTACCTGGCAGATGCACTCTATCAATATTTACACACACACCCCCACACACAGGCATTTATCTGTGTGTGTTTCAGCACAAGAGAAGTCACATACAAGGGCTCATGTCCTGACTGCCACACAAGCTAGGAAATAAGGAACCATAATTATTCGAAAGTCCATGTTTCAATGTTCCTCCAGAGAATACTTAAAGGATGCTCTGACATTGGGCCAGCAAATATCAACTTTAAAAAAAGTCTCATGTCACAAAGCCACTGGAGAAAAATGGCAACACATGGTATGTCATGGTATAGCAACTGTGACCACAATCGGGGGCTTGGATGCAGAACGGTGGTCGGTCACCTCTTGGCACAATTTAAAGCTGGCCCAAGGCTACTGGATTCCCGAGAAACATAGGACAAGGCCAAAGCAGCAAAGGGAAGTGAGTGGTGGCTTCGGCGGACAGCCTCTGTCTCCTCCAAGGGGCTGGTGCTCTTTGTAGGCACAGAGGAGTCTTTGGCGGAGCTTGGCAGACGGTGGCATCAGAAATAGAGCAGCATGGGAATCCAGGCTCTACTACCTCCGGTTCCACCCACAGGGGCACTGACGTCAGCACAATGTAAGTCTGTCTCATAATCTGGGTGTTGAGTGGCTACTAAGTCCGAAGGCCGGTGGGCCTGGCCTAGAGCTACCAAGCAGAGCGACTTCTGGGCAGAGGCACCGACAGACTGGCACCTCTTCTGCCAGACCCATGGAGATTGTGAGCCAAGTGCTCCTCACATTTGGACTGATTCTGCCAACCTGGGGAACAGAAAGGCCTTGTGAAAACAGGAGATCTGAGCTGAGAGCTCAGTGGGCCTTGGACATCTCTCCTGCAGCTCAAGTTAACTCCCCATCCAGGAGCACAGGCAGGATATTTGCAAGGCCAGGCAGGAGAAGAACCAGAAGTCTGCTAATGTGAAAGTGGAAGCGCTTCCTGTCCGCCCTGCCATCCATGCTAGGGCTTGCTACTGAGTTCCCAAAAGATTTGTTAAAGCGGTGACTTTAGATTTCATATTTTTTTGGCCCAAGTTGTGAACATTCTGACCCTTGCACAGGCTAAAAGTTAGAAAAAGTGTTTGGGTGTTTAACTCAAAACAAACAGCAGCGATTCCCAAACTGAAACTGGACGGCTGGTTCCAAACTCACAATCTGAGGCTTTCAGGAGCGTCTCTCCCTTTTCCGTCACTCAGCTGACCAGAGAGCAGCGTCCAGACCAAGAACCTCTCGCCACTGAGGTCAAGTCACGACACTGTACTAGACTCGGTGCGAGAGAGGCTGCTGCTGAGCATCCATCCCGGAAGGGGGAAGTGTGGGCGCTCCCAGGCAGGCAGCTTTGCCAAAATGGGGTGTGGGTGTGGGTGTCCGTCGGGCCTGTCCCTTGTCACAGCCGGCTCTCAGTCCTGGAGACCCTCCTCTGCCCTCCACGGGAGGTGCCCAGGTTCTGCAGCGGAAGGGTCAGGACAGAGTTTCTCCCGTTTCCAAAGCAGCGAAGATGGAGTGTGGGGAGCACGGGCTGGAGTGGCAGCAGTGCCTGCAGCACGTCTGCTAATGACGTCTCCTCGCCTTCGGAAATAAAGTCTTCACACAGGATATCCAGTTAAGCTCATCACCTGGTAATGCATCCTTTACCCCGACCCCTTCTTTCATCTGCTCCTTCCTCCTCGCCGAGGGGCCCCTAAAATCCAGTCACTGGCCAGTCTCCACACACTACAAAATGTTCCTGTAGAGATGAAGCCTTCAGCCTAAACAGACCTACAAGAGCATTTTACTGCGTGACCCCAAGGCAGAGGTGGGGCCATGTGACCAAAGGAAGGCTACTTAGTCAAAACAAAACGTTTGGTTTTGCTTATGCTGGAGATAGCGCTTCTCCCCTGTCCCCTCAGCTGTGGCTGACGAAGTCCTAAGGGTCTGCCAGGCCCCAAATAGCCACCCCACTCAACAAATAAAGAGAAAAGTAGAATGTGGTCCATCCACTCTAGGGAGCATTCTTCAGCCTTGAAAGGAAGGAAGTCCTGACACAGGCCGAGACAGGGGAGCACTGGGGGGCACAGCGCTAAGTAAAGCAAGCCAGTCACAAAAAGACGAACACTGCATGGTTTCGCCTCTGTGAGATGAGAAAAGGGGTGACATTCCTGGAGACAGGAAGGGGGTGCTGCTGCGGGAGGGACAGCTGTTTCATGGGCTGCGGAGTTTCAGGTTGACAAGGTGAGGACAGTCTGGAGACTGGGTGTGCACCTGAGTGGATGTGCTTAACACGACTAAAGCGCTCACTTAAAAATGGTGAAGATGGCAAATCCTGAGAGATACACAAGATACACCAGGACTACCGTACCCTGTAATCACTCATTTACCGAATGCTACGTTACACGCAACAGTCTCAGAATAACAACACTAGTGCTACCACCGCCCAAATTATTACTGAGAGAAGCAACGAGACGTTTGTATATGTTTTCTGTTTTGCCTCCATTTTGAAGGCTTTTGAAGGTTTGTTGCCACCGTCATGCTCTGCCACACGGCCACGGCCCTGCGGCCACCACACGCGGTGCTCGCTCCAGTTCCTTATGGAGTCTTAACTGCCGCAGCGACGGGGCGCCGCTCTCCACTGGGCTCCACAGTGATGTTTCCCTCATCATTGTCATTGTCTGAAGCCTGTTCTCCAGTGGAGTCCTCATTTCTGGGATTTTTCTACTTCCGATTTATGTGGCGCATGTCTTGCGGCGTGAGCACATTTTAATGTCACTTAGCTCATTTTAAAACGGAGAACTATAGTTTTCATCAGTTTTGTGGCTCGACTTTCTGACAGGCTTCCACTGTCTCTAGGGAGTCTCTAGCTTACACTTCTAACCTAGGAATATTTGACATCAATAACTGCCTGTTGCTGGCTTTATGTGAAACTGGTTTTCCTGAACCTCGAGAGGGAAATGTGGCCCGGAGCAGCTTCGTCATCCCTGCAGCTCTCCTCTGTACCACATCATCTGAACCACAGAAGCCTTTGGAGATTCCACACCTGCACAGACCTTGATGCAGACCTCCTTCTTCCTCAGCCGTGTCGCTCCCGACCCTGACCACGTCACTCCCGAGCCCACCCCGCACTGAACCCTTTGGTAGGGAGGCTTGTCCTGGGTTCAGGAGATCCCGGGGCGGGTCGCAGGTCTCTCCACTCAAGCATGGCTTGGGTGGGGGAATCATGGTTCTTCCAGTTCAACTGCTGTTGTCACACTGAGCTGCTGACCGCCAGAGACACCTGCTGGCAACGGGCGCATCTCCTTCTCTCAAGTCTGTCAGCTGCCCCAGTACTCACTTCTGTTTTCTCCTCTGGAGGTGCTCGTACTCTTCGGGTCTTCCTGTGCTCGGTGGGGCCTCCCCTGCCTCGGGCACTATGGGTTTGAAGAGATAACCTGTCCTCTGTAAAGATAACCTGTCCTCTTCTGTAAAGATCATCATAGGTTCCAAGGTTTGCTGTCTACTTGTTCTGGGTGTTTCCGTGTGAGGCTTCAGAGAGAGCAAACTATTATGCTGTCTTCCCAGAATCACTTAAGTGATGTTTCTCATGGACTTGTGTGTCTATCTTATTTCTTTCATAGCACCAAGCAGAAAACTAAGATACTAGGTGGTCTGGTTCAGCTCCAACACCTGCAGCTCAATGCTTCCCCAAAGACCAGCACTTCTAGGAGAACTGGCTTCACATCTAAGCTAAAGACATGCCGACTTTGGCGGGGCAGCCAAGCATTAGCGCCGACCCCCAGCTACTAGCCATCCTTCCCTACAGACCTCCCAGCCTCTGAAAATTGGCCTGGGCCAGGCTGAGCAACACTGGAGGGCTGGGGCTAGGAAAGCAGCCCCACAGCCTCACCAGGGATTCCTGCTGGACAGTGGTGCCCCTGGAGCAGCCACCCCGCGTGGCCGCTCATTATCGCTTTAGTCCCTTCATGAAGCCAGACAGCCACTCTTAAAAATACAACAAGCAAACAAATGCAGCTGAATAAGGAAGTGAGACCACCAGGCCACAAGGCCTGAGAAGTCTCTGGAGGAGAAGCAGCCCAGCCCCAGGCTCCCAGCAGCACGCCCTGAACCTCCCTGCCTGCCACAGTGGCTCCGGCTCCGGCCTCAGGCAGCCCCCGCGCATCGGAAGCTGCTGGCCCTGCAGGCGTGAGATGCACACTGAGCTTTGAAGGAAAAGTGTGAGAAAAGAATACAAAGGATCTCAATGATTTTATGTTGCTTCCATGTTGAAATGACAATGTTTTGGGTATGCTAAGCTAAATATTTTATTAAAAGTAATTTCACCTCTTTATTTTTTTTAATGTGGCTACTAGAAAATGTGAGACCACAGATATGGTTTGGGTTCTATTTCTAGTGGAGAGCACTGGTCTCGAGTGTCGCACAGCCCTGCTCTGAAATCCCAGTGAGCGCACGTGCTATCTGTGTGCAGAGGTGACTTTCCTTTCTAAAGGCTCACCTGCTCTTCTGTAAACTAAAAATTATACCTAAATTATTAGGTTGTTGTGTAAAGTAAATTAGATAATGAATGTAAAACATTTAGCATAAGACCTAGACATAGAAGGGGTTTTGAAACAAGAGCTGCTTTTATCACTAGCATCCGGCATTAGGTGTGTAATGAGGAGGTACAGGTCTCACACCTGGCTCTGCCCATATCTGGCTACATGATCCAGTTAAGAAAAACTAAGATCCTTCTTTTCTTTATTAGAAAATCAGGAGCTAGTAATCTGTTTCATCAGGTGGTTCTGAGGACTGAATTCTCTGTCAACATGTGCTTACTGGCACCTACTACAGGCAGGCACCTTTCTGGGCACTGGGGGAAGAGCAACGAACAAGTCAGTGGCTGTATTTGGGGAGTTTTCATTCCAGGGGAGAAGCCATACCATGCTAATGCAATGCTGGGCAGCGAAGAGGGATATGAAGAAAATGGAGCAGGACGGGGAGAGAGGGCCATGGGGAGGTGCCACATAAGCCCAGGCGTCCTCTGCAAGGGCTGGCAGCTGAGCAGACCCGGAGCAGACCACAGAGCCACGCTCTGGGACTGAAGAACAGGCTCAGGGCCCTGAGGCAGGGGCAGCCTTGGTGAGTCTGGAGAAGAAAGAGGCAGTGCATGCCGGGGAGATGGGAGCGGGGCAGGAGAGGTGGCTGGCCAGACCCCGGGGGAGCTTCTCCTGGAGGAACCCTGGGTCTCACTCTAGTATGAACAAGCCGCTAGAGAGTTTCACCAATTTTAACAGGACCACATGCCAGGCTCAGCACAGCCAGCACCAAGAAAAGGCGGGAGTCAATGACGGCAGAGCAATGAGCCAGGGCCGGTGGGCTCCCCCTGCACCAGAAGGGCACCCCGCCTCTACCGCAAGGAATGGGGCAGACGAGGATGAGGCAGGAAACACTGCCCAGTCTGCAGAGAGACAGCATGGACGATCTTGGAATCGGGCTCAAGGTCTCCCCAGAGCCAACATCTCCTTTATCCCTCAAACTGCAAAATGAAGAAACCAAGTCATGGCAAAACCAGGAGCCAACTCTGCCATGCCCAGGAACAGCCCCTCCGTTGGGCCAGCAGCAACATACTGGGGGAGGAAACACAATCTTTAAACATTTATCATTACAAAAACCGTCCAAATAACAGTATCATATAAAAATGTTAAAAGGAGAAGAACAATTAAATTCCAGTTATCGACACCTCAAATCTTAAAAACAGAAGCTACAGTAATGACGTTTGGCTGTACGTGCAGGTATATCCGACTATGTAAACACCACACCCAGACCTTTCCTCATGCAGGTTGTAGATACGAGTGTGTTGGATGATGTAAGATGGCACCACTCTTTGTGAACTGGGCGCGCCCTGCTCCATGCAGCCGTCACTCACGGGCGCTGTGCAGCCTTCCGAGTGGTCGGTCCTAGACTGACAGCCTCCTCTAATGCTGCGCGGCATCTCACAAGGACACTTTAGTCAACAGTCCCCGCTTGTGGGACACGTGGGCTGTTTCCAGCCTGAGCGGGACCCCCCCAGCTCAGCACCTGTCAAGCTGCCCAGCCACCCACTCTAGGCCTGTTACTTACAGCAAATTCCTCAGGAGTCACTTTCAAGACATCGAAGACAACAGCGTCGTAGCTCTTACTGGCATAGTCGCAGCTCTGGCCCTCCAGAGAGTCTGAGCTGCTGCTGCCCTGTGGGGAAGAGGGGGGATGGCGGCCCTGAGCAGTCTGGCTGACTCGAGTCACTGGCCCCCAGACTGTTGATGCAAGAGCTGTTTCCTCCTATACCCCACTCCGGGCTTGCAGCGAGCACTTTGTAACAAGCTCTGTGAGCACACTCGATTTATATACCCATGTTACAGATAAGGAAGGGGGGGGCAGTGCTCCGCCCCCCAAAGAGCTCAGCTAGGAAACTGAAAAGTCAGCATAATTTTGTGTCCATCTGAACCCAGAATGTGTATCTGCATCCCTAGGCCCCAACTGTGTCCAGAGGGGGGCGGCGGGGTGGGGGCCGTGAGACGTGGGGGCCGTGAGAAGTGGGTGATGGTGGAGGGGAAAGATACAGTCCACTCTGCCCTCAGAGAGAACAGGCCCTCGCAGCCTTGGAGGCCAAAGGAGATCATCTGTTCTGTCTTTTAAACATTACCTGGTTTCACCCTTTTTTTTCCCCTCTCTACTTGAAGTCATTGCAGGAAATTATTACCCAAAATGTTAAACTGGCTCTCAAGACTTATTTCATGTATGGCCACTTGGAATTCAAAGCCTGTTGGTTGATGAGGTGAGAGGTAACCAACTGGCTGTGGAGACTGGCATCAAAGCTATATTTAGTAGGGTCCTTGTTAAGAAGAACCGCGTGAGTTCTGCATGGAAAGCAAGGGTCTCCCATAAAAACACAAGTTAAAACTCCTCAAATGTGGCCAGTTGAGAGAAACCCAACACTGCAGGGGTCCCAGAATGCTGAACATACCTTCTGTTCAATTTCATTTAATTTCAGCAAATTCTACCTCAGGGAACCAATCGCGATTACCACCCAAAAAGTGTACCCCGTTCATAAACGGTTTTATTCGTCTCAACCCATGAAGAGGGATTTTGTGGTTTCCATTAACCTCAACATCTTGGACCAGGATTGAGAGAATATGCTTTTATTAATTCCTCTTTATTTCACTCTTTCCAAAAGGGCTATATCTGGAAAAACTTTGCAATCTTACTGGAAACTGAGTGTTTTTAGTCCAGTGAGGGAAACCAACAGTCAACAACTGAAAATGTGAGGTTAAAAGGAGGAGTAGAAACTTAAGCCTGCAGATTTCAATAGGCCTGTGTCATCTGCAGGGTTTACAGACGAGCCTGTTTTACCAAAGGCTTGAAGATGCTCTTCAGAAGCGGCACATCATGGTGGCTAAGGCGCTGATGTCAGCAAGCGCTTGCAATGCCAGCTCCCCATGCTGCTCCCTGGCCTTGGCGGTGACTTCATTTTGCTGACTCGCAGTTATCATCTGTGAAATGGTGCTGGGAAAGCCTGCTCCCCAGGGGTGCATGTGGGTGATATAAAGATACAGCTAATAAAGTCACTGGCAGAGCCCCTCTCCTGGGAGATGCTGACTCACGGTGCCCAGGTGGGCTCAGGCTGCCTATTTAAAAGATCCGTGGGTCGCTCTCCCCTAAGAAGAATCTGCTTTTGAGAAGCAATAAAGCTGAATCCTGAATGTTTCAGAGCTGGCACTCTACTCCGGCCCTCAGTCTCAAACACAGACCCTGGGCAGACGATCACCCCCAATCACCCTGCACCTCTATACAGCCCCCAGGAGGCTGGTGAAGCAGAGGTCAGAGCTGCCTCCCAGGACATGCGGTCAGCACAGTTAGGAGCCCCGGCTCAAGGGTCTTGGGCTGGCTGTGATTCCCCCCACCTCTCACCCCTCCATCCTTGTTTTCTCATCTGTTTACTGAGGGGAAGCCAAGGAGAGCCCTGATGGGGGGATTGTAAGGATTAAGTGGGACTCAGAGCGTGGTGTACAGCAAGCAGCAAATCATGGACATGTTGAGTATTTCATTTACTCAACAAGTATTTATTGAGTACTCACCTGTTCTGGACACACGCATGTGTGAACAGGCTTACACGTGCATATACATCACATACACTGTGTATGCACATGTATGCACATGCACACATAGGTGTACACACACACACACACACACACACACACAGAAAGAGACCAGAAAGGACTCCAGACGGAGTGTGAATTATAAGTGGAAACCTAAGTCTGACTCCTCCAGAGCCCCTTCTGGGATTCCAGGTTTTATGGAACTTTCCTATAACACACCCCACTGCATCTGCCCCGCATGTATGCACACATGTGAGGGGCCTGGATCAATCAGAAGTTGCCCCAAATACATGGATTGGCAGTGATATAGCTGATGATTCGACTTTATTGAAACCTATGTGGTGGCATCAGGGAAGTTAAATGGCACCCACAAGTTTGCTTTCAGGACCAGAAATCAAAAGGAGACATTTTTATGACTTTTTAAAGGTCTGCACGAAGTCAGTCCTGTGAATTTCCAGCTGGTCATCTCAGAAGTCCTGCCCCGGGGGCCTCGTGTGCCCAGGGCGCTGAGTGCTGCCTGGCCAATTGGCCACAGGGGCCAAGCTTGTCGTGCCCAGCAAGGTGGCACCTCGGCCTCAGATGACACCCACCCCTCCTGCACGCCAGTGTTCCACCACTGAGCGTGGAAAGCAAACTCCCAAACCCCCAGGGCGGGGGGTCTAGCCCAGGCCACTCTCAGACCACCAGTCCTTACGGCCATTTCCTGCTGAGCAAGGTAAATAAGAACACAGGGCCAGCTGGAATCACTTCTGTCTGACTTCATTCTGGAATGTGTGACTTATTTATAATGAGCAGCAGTTTTTCTTGGGAAAGGTCTGATCCCTTCTTGCCACCAAAACGGAATGTGGCACTTGCTACGACTGGACTGGGCAGGGCAGGTATTTGTTTTTCTTTGAAGAGCTCGACTTCAGAGACATACTGCTCCTCAGGGCTGACTGCCTCCCAAATCTCACGCCTGGCGCGGCCGGGCCCTCGGAGAGCTAAGAATGGTGGTATTCATGGAGCCCTGCAGTCCTGCTCTGCACCACCCAGCGGGGCTGGGGTCAGCTGAAAGGAGGCCAGGCCCTCCCCATGGCCCAGCCCGAGGCTCCGTACCTGTGGAGTGGCAGAGGTGACCAACACGCTAGCCATCAGACCATTCCTCTTGTACATAGTCTCCAGGCTGCAGGGAGCTTCAGGGCAGCCTCTGTCGGTGGCATTACCTGTCTGGAGAAGTCCTGCAAGGCAAAGGGGCTCATGAAAACACACCTTCAAAACCAACTTAATCCCACCCTGGAAGAAAGTTGCACTGGGCAGGAGGCCTTATAAGACAGACGGCAGGTCGGTGGCCTTCTGGCCAAGCACAGCCCACAGACATCTGCTGGGGTCGGACCGATGTTTAGTTACCGGAGAATTTCACACAGATTTTCTTGAAAAAAAAATCTGACTTTTCTTGAAAATAGAAAGAGCTGACAGTGCAAGGCCCTCAATGCTGCCTGACAGCCATCAACTGCTGAGCAGAGGCTGCTCAGGGACTGAACAAGGGCCTTTTAGGCCCCTCAAGGCCCAGACAACCACGTGGGCACGTGCCTCACCCTCACAGGCATTAGAGACTGCGACCTCTGTGTCAAAGTCAAGGCAGGTGAAGCCTGTTCTGTCTCCCTGGGCAAACATCACTTCGCCGACCACAAGGGCCAGGGCCATGGGCCGTGGGTTCTGAAAATTTAATTCTTCTAGCTCTCACCAGAGTTCCCAGGTAGGTCCTACTATTATGCCCATATTAATTGTGAGAAACTGAGGCACACGAGGCTCAAGCACCTTTGCCTGCATGGCCCCACCATCCTGTCATCACCCAAGACCCCGTGATGGTACCCCCAGACCACCCCAAGGTCAAAGCAGCTGCTCTCATGCCAAGGCGCCCACACCACCAGTAGAGCCCTGGCCATGTCCTGAACATCGCAGGCTGCAGCCACTGCGGGTTTCCAGCAGGAGTGTGACCAGCGGAGTGGGAAGGATGCACTGGGGTGCAGAGAAGGCAGAGGCTCTGCGGCCATCCAGGCAGGAGCCCAGCAGCATCCAGTGAGGAGACACAGTGAGGCCAGAGACTTCACAGAAGTGAGGAGGGGCTGGGGGGAACAGACTGAGGATGAAGGGCCCTCACTTGGAGGATGGCGTGACCTGCCTCAAGGAGAGGACAGAGGTGGTGTCACAGATCTGCGGGGAAAGATGAATTAAATCTGGGATGTGCTGAATTGGTCGGTGCCCATTAAGAAAATCAATCCTAGAAAACAAGGTCTAGTCCAAAGGTCGCCGGGAAAGACGTCTGGAGATGAATCAAAAACAAACGGTGCCGGCCTGATGGGGATGCTCCGTAGCCACCGCAGCCCTGGGCCCAGGGGCAGAGTCAGCTCCCTCCAGAGGCTCCAGGCCCCCAGTGGCTGTCTCTTTCCACTGTTTCACTAGCTTTCTGTTTGACAGTCTCCTCCTCAGCTCTACCTGTGGGCCTTTTTCCTTCCCTCCTACCTCCTCCAAAACCACCAAGAGAACTATTAATACCAATGACCGTTGGGGACAGCGGGGGCAGCTGCATGTGGCTGCTAGATGAGCTCGCAGGACGACGACCGCTTCCTCAGGTGGCAAACGTGTGGACGCGAGCAGAGGGCTCTTCTCCTCAGCCAGTGTGAGAGATTTAGAGGTAGGGTTTGCAACTTATTTTCATGTGGGTCAGCAAAATACACAAAAGTTGAGATTAATGCAAATTTGGCAAAATGTTAACAGCTGACAACTCGCTGACAGTTCACTGTACGAGCCTCAACTTTCCTGAATATTTGACAATCTTCCTGATTAAAAAGGAGAAGAAAAAGAGAACTGGCCAGGTAAGTTTTCTTCTTCAAGGAAAGCCTGAGTGGGGAAGATCAGGATCCCCTTTCACAGCAGGAGGAGGGGTGCGCTGGACACACTGTGTGACCTTGCTGCCCTGGGAGGGCAGGCCCTCCAGTCCCGAGGTCCACGGCCATGGCCCAGGAGCTCTGACTGGACATCTGGCAAGAGAAGATGGGAACCTGAGTGGCTACTAAGGAAAGGGCCTCCGGGCACACTTAAGCCACGGTGACCAGCCCCTTCACACCCACAGGCGTGTCCAGAGGCAGGGACAGGCGATGCCAGTGCTGCTGAGACGCGGACCAGTGAGACCATCACACATCACTGGGAGGAAGGCAAAAGGCACAGCCACTCTGAAAAATAATTTGGCAGTTTCTTAAAAAGTTAGTCATAATTTACTAAGTGACCCAGAAGTCCTATCCCAGGCATTTATCTAGACAAAAAGAAAGCACGTGTCTACACAGACGGGATGTTACCGAGCGCCACCCCTCCCGTTCATCACAGCCAACAGGGGGACACGCTGGACGCCCTCCCTTGGGCCACGGCTAGACGATGCACAGCCACCACGATGGCGGCTCTCAAGGGCCCGGGGGATTGGACGAGAAATGCACGCCAAATGCTCCGCCAGCCCAGGCACCAAGCGGGCACTTGATCAGTTATTGGCCACTAGTAGTGGCAGCTGAACCCTGCAGTTCTGTTCACCTACACCCATTCTCTTTTCCCAAAACAGACAAAAACAGCGTGGTGCTTTGTGAGACCAAAGGCTGTCACTGCTGGAAGGGGCTTCCTCGCCACAGGCGCCAGGCCCAGGGGAGCACAGGCCAGGCCCAGGGGTCCAAGTGCGGGGCTCCTCCTCCAAGACCTGACCTGCCCATCCCCTCAGGCCCAGCCCGCTAGAGGACAGTATATGACAGCCACAGCATGTCACCCACCACACTTCCCCTGGGCGCCCGGACTGGAAAGAAAGACGGAGCTCTTGTTTCCGATCCGACTCCTGCATGTCTCGCCACTGACAAAAACAGCCTGATTTATGGGCAGAACTCCCAGACAAGTGATATTTCACATGTGAAGAAATAACAGGACCAAGCAGAATGGAACATGCTTTCCAGGGCCCAGAGACACCCCCACACAGCCACCTTCAGTCCCTGGGGCCTGGCCAAGCCCTCACCAGGGACCAGACTCCCAAGGAGGGGGTCAGCCCAGCCCAGGCCACTGGACCCACTTCCTCACCCCACAGAGGGCCTTTGAAGATGGGCAACGGCACCTCCAGCAAAGTCAGGGCTCGGAGATGCCAATCTCTGCTGGCCAGGTGCACCTCCCGAGGGGTGGAGGCTGGAGGGACAGTCACACGGAGGGGAGGAAGGACAGAGAATCTGTGTCTGAAAGAAACAGTGGCAGCCTCGTTCCCACCCCAGGGCCTAGAATAAATGTCTCCATTCCAGTTTTCAGCAGACCTTGACCACCACTAAACACTCTGCCCATGCGAAGCCACCAGAAATCTGAGCCCTGAAAACACATGGGCTCATCCAAACAGGGAAAGACACAGACCAGCCACCCAGCCACCCAGCCTCCCAGCCTCCCATTCATAAGCTTTGGTGCGAGGCATCACTCAGGCCAGGAGCTCTAAACCATCTTGTACCTTGAACCCGCTGGCAGGGTAATGAAGCCTCTGGGCCCCTCTTACAGAATTTTTTTTAAATACGTAAAATGAAGTTACATGGGAAGTCACACAGGATTACCCAAGAAATCAATTATATTATTTTTTAAATAATTTCTGATGTAATATATGTATTTCTTCATGTAAGGGTCTGCGTGTATTTCTTTACAATAGCATTAAATAATAAGACCTACTAGAAGGCTTAATAGAGTTCAAAGTAGTCAGGAGCATAGATATTCCAAGATGCCCACAACCGTTACATGTTGTGAAAGTATCTATAATTGCTGCTGATGGCTCATCCCAGGTCCTGCTAATAATGCTGTGATTCGCTGTCAGGTTAATACCTGCGAGATGCTAGATTTCCTTTGGCGGTTAATGAAAACAGTATCTCATTTGTCCCCATCCAGATTCAGGTATGCCGGGGCAAGAACCGCTGCTGCAGGGGCTGCGGACAGGGAGTGAGCAGGCATGGGGGAGAAACTGCATCCAGGGCCGGAGCCAGAAATACAGGTGAATGGGCCTCCCTGGTGGCGCAGGGGGTTAAGCAGCACACTATGAAGCCGTTCGTAGCCTCTGCAGCATGAGTTCAGTCCCCAGCCGGCCAGGGAGCAACCCACATGGCGCAGCAGCCCTCACCTGCCTCGCCCGCTGCTCCCCTCAGCAGTGTATTTCAGTCAGTCTGCCTGTTCTGTTCCCCCCTCTGTCTCTGGTGAATCCTCTCACCTCCCACACCTCTGGCCTGTACCCCAGTTCTTGTATGCATAAATAAATAAATCTTTAAAAAAAAAAAAGAAATACAAGTGAATGAAGAAGATAACTTCAGATGTTGAGAAACACCTTGAAGAAATAAAATAGGATGGACAATGGAGTTTGCTGGGGTGGTCAAGGAAGGCCTCTCTCTGAGGATGTGAAACTTGAGCTGAAACCTAGGAAGGAGTCCAGTATAGAAACCAGCCAGCGTGCTCCCTGCAGAGCAAACAGCAAGCACAAAGACCCTGTGATACACATGAACTTGGTTTCTGACAGAGGCAGCCAGGCTTGAGCTTCATTGGCCAGGGCAGTGGACAGGCAGGCGAGGGCCAGAGCATGAAGGGCCTTGGTGGGGGGTGTGGGTTTCATATGAAGTGCCCTGGGGACCCTCCATGCAGAAGGTTTTCGGCAGGAGACTTAAGTTGACCCTGTGGTTTGAAGTCACTTTGGCTACTGTGGCGAGGTTTGGGGGGAGCTCCCAAGTCAGGAGGAGCAAGACCAACTCTGGGTGAGAGGAGGTGACAGGCACTACCGGCCACAGGCACGAGGATGGATCTGGCAGGGATCGGAGGTGAAACAGACAAGACCTGTTGATGGGCCACGTTCGAGGGGAGAGGGTACAGGTGACTTCTCAGTCAGGGCTGTTCCGACTGGGCAGACGGCGGCCTCACAGCCACATGCTGCTGTTTAGGCAGCACCAGCCACTGCACTGGGGGCAGCCAACTGCAGGGGCCTGGCGTCCAGGTTGACACAAGCCTGCAGTGCAGTGGGGGCAGGAATCGAGGAAGAGCTGCTCTCGGGAGAACTTTGTACTTAAGCACAAAGAAATGGGGGATCTCCTTGGGGGTCAAAGAAGACAGCGCTGAGAAGGGCCACAGAGCTGGGGGTGACCCCAAGGAAGGGCATGCCGAGCACATTCGATGGGGAGGCCAGACCAGCGTGAACACCACG